ATTGTAATGCACTAAGACAGACCTTTTAAATGATTTGTAAAACTGACTCTAAAGGGCATTCTAGAATATTAACAAGGGCTCTGAGCACTGGAATAGGTATATTTTATTTCCCCCAACTTCTTTGAAAAGCAATGGTCATTTGGATATATAAACATTAATATAAGTTGTTCTTTGTATAATCATTTTACATCTCATGAAGGTTCCTGTCTTAGTGTTTCTATTGCTGTAATAAGACACCATGACCAAAAGAAACTTGGAGAGGAAAGGGTTTATTTTATCTTACACTTATAGGAAACATTCCATCACTGAGGAAAGCTGGGGCAGTAAGTGACACAGAGAGAGAACCTGGAGACAGAAACTGATACAAAGGTGATACAGGTATGCTACTTACTGGCTTGTTCCCTATTGTTTGCACAGCCTGCTTTCTTATACATCTCAGGAACACCAGCTTAGAAGTGGCACTGCCCACAGTGGGATGAGCCCAATTACATCAATCATTAATTAAGAAAATATCCTACACGCTTGTCCATGGCCAGTCTGGTTGAGGGCATTTTCCCAATTGAGGTCCCCTCTTCCCAGATGGCTCTAGCTGATGTCAAGTTAACAAAACACCATCTAGAATGGCCCCTCGGTATATTGGACTTACTCTGTGATAGGAGGAAGGGGCATGAAGAATGGAGCAAAAAACTTCAGAAGGAACCTGACCTGAATTAGAATCCTGATTTGGTGCACAAAAGCTTTTATGACTTTAGAGAAGTCTAAGATTCTCCAAAACGAAACTGTTTAGGGCCAGAAAGATTGATCAGTAGGTAAAGGCACTTGCCACCACCCTGATGGGTGGTTCGAGTTTAATCTCCAGGACCCATATGCTGGAAGAAGACCGACTCCTGCAAGATGTTCTTTGATTTCCATATGCATACTGTGTCATACACAACCAATAAATTAAAATGTGTTAAAATTAGAAAATTAAATAAAATGCAGCTGCTATCTGATTTGTAGGGCTATTATAAAGAGTAAAGATACTGAAAAATAAAGTGCCAATACTGTGTTGGCTCATGGTGGATGCAAAGTCATAGCTATTATTAACAACTATTAATGAATAAAAGTCAAGACAATATTCTGACTATCAGTGGCTTCATTATCAGTACTGACAGTGCACTCATACTGACACATCAGTGACCTGCTTTTAAAAATACAATCTGTAAGGAGTATTTGGAGTAATTAACACTATGTATTTGTTTACTGTACTAGAGCATCAAACCTAATACCTTTTACAAATGCTTTACCACTGAACTATATTCTAAGCTCAACATCATTTATATTTAAAACACTACACACATTATCTGCAATAATCACATGACACTGAACTTTATTTTCAAATAATTCTTTCAGAAATGTTTATTTTATATGAATGGGTATCTTGCCTGCATATATGTCTTCTATACCATATGCGTACTTGGTGCATGCACTGTTACCAGCAATCACATTCATTCCCTCCCCCCATTTCAAATAAAAGACAAAGACTAAAGAATGGCTTTAGAAGATGGAGCATACAAGAAGTTTGCAAACATAATTTACTTTATTAGTACTGCATGACCACAAAAAGAAATCCCCAGAAAGGCATTTCTCAGTCGTTATTCCAGTCTAGAATATCCAAAAGATATACCACACTCCCACCAAGAGCCAACTACAGATGAGTCAGTAGACCAAGCAGAGTTCTCACAGCCTTCCAATGCTGTGTGGTTACCAAGGCTGAAGAGCCTTCTCTAACAAGTAACAATTCTACCAAAATAGTGAACAACCATAAGGCCTTGTGATGTACTCAGGATCTCTACCTCCAGGGATATTCTGGAATCAGTTTTCCAATTCTGTACACTTCCAATAGCCTGTTTAGTGTATAAAGCTGTTGGAGGCTTCAGGCAATCCAAGAAGAATTCTTGGTAGACACACTGTGTTTCAAGAAGTTTAACTTGGGAAATTAAAACGCAATTATGAAAAGTTAGTCATCAACCAGTTCTGTAGCAGATGGAAATAGGCATAGCCTTAGCTATCAGCCTGTCATAGCTGGGTGCTAAACACTTTGAATCATATTGTGTTACTACTATTTCAAGAAAATTGACAAACTGCAATGAATTCTCACTGACCAAGACTTGCAAGGTATGAAAGGAGGTCTGGAGCTACAGTCCATGCTTTGAGGATAACCAAACAATAACAGTGGCTGTTTCTGGGATATCTAAATAATCTCCAGAGTAAAGAAAGCATAGTCTCCTGTTAAAGTCTTTCCCATCTTATAAATGGAACAATTGCACTCTGAAGGGACAGAAGAAGAGCGATGAAAAATAAATAGTTCATACTCCAGCATGAGAGCAGTCATTAAAAAAAGCAGTTCTAGAATGTTGCTACAGGCCCTGATGAGTTATCATTCATTTCACAAATTACTGAGCCAGCTATTATCTCATGCATATAAACTATAACAATAAAAGCTTGGCTTCACATGGCTTGAATTTCAGTAAGGAAAAGAAATATTAATTAAATGAAAACAGAGACAAAGGGCACAGATAAGTGCTCTAAAGGAGGACTATGATCTTCTACAGAGATTGTAGAAACAGGGAGTAGTGGACCATGTTGAGGAAGCCAGGACAACTTCCTTTAGCAACTACCAAGTGAGCAGAGATTTCAATGATAAATACAAATTAACCAAATCAAGGAGAGAAGGAATCACCCCTGCTAAATAAGCAGTGTATGATGAAGTCCTGAAGTAAGAGGACATACATGAATTTGTTCAAATTTAGAGAGAGAGAACAAGACAGCAGCACAAAGATCTGGGGTCCTAGCACAGGGTGTTTTCCTGTCTACACTCATTAGTTTGCTCTTCAGATGTGTGAAAGGCTTTTGTCATCAAGGGTCAAAATTAAAATACAATATAAAAAGCTAGATCATCCACAATACATGAAATACTACCAGCTAAGAAAAAAATCAAACCTGTTAATATCACCTAGTCATTGTATTCATGAAACATCAACTATCCCCTCGCACTAGGAAACACTGAATCAGGACAATGGTAGGGTACAAGATACTGTTAAATTTTTCGTGGAAAGATGCATATTACTCCACTTACAATTCAATAACAAATAAATGCACTGATGATCATTTTATATATATATATATATATATATATATATATATATATATACATACATATATATGTATATATATATACATATATATATATATATCTTCAAAGTATTTCAGTATAATTTTTAGACTTTGGTATTTGGAGGTAAAAAACACAGGAAAAAAATGTTAAGAGTTTGATCAGGGAACCACTATTTTGCTTTCACAACTTTTAGGTAACTTAGAACATCACCTTGCAGCTTCCGGACTATCTGTCCCATAATGAACAAGTCATGGAACTTTTTATTTGTAACACACTGTGCAATAACACATTAATTGAAGTTCAATAGCCTTTTGAGCAATTATATTTACTCTACAGATGAAACAGACAGATAAATGAGTTGTGCAAGGAAACAAAACAATTCAGCCTATATTTCTTTTTTATAACCCTATCCAAACAATAATAATACACAATATGTGTCCACCTTCAGTACCAATGCAGTTGTCCTACAGACAAATCATAATCATAGGAGCAGTAGAGGGAAAACTACAGTTAGTTTTCTGATATTTACTCTAAATGAAATCCTCTTTGCAGAATAAAGTCAAGGCCAACAATGATGACCAATAGATTAAGGCCAGAATATGAATGCAAAAACAATAAGAGCACCCAGGCCAGTACAGTGGCTTTATAATTTAAAATGTTACCACTCTCAAGGAGACTGCATTCCACATAATCCCTTCTTCCTCTCTCTCTGCAACAAACAGCTTAAAAAGTTACTTCTCTGGGCTGGAAAAGTTCAGGAATACACAATACAGCAAATTATCTAACCTTCCCTTCACTTCCAGGCTGGGACTGCAAAGCATCTTAAGTGTCTAGCTTAGGACATAGCACACAGAGCAAGACTAGCTTACTTGACTGTATGTCTTCCCACTTAGAAATAAATAGAAATGGACTTAAAGAGATCAATGAAATGAATTCATCTCACAGCTTATTAAAGAGCAAAGAATCCCTTAGTTAGTTGGCCTGGTATCCCCAATCTAGGTGTTGATTCATTTTACTTCCAAAGACGTTTTATAAGTGTCTACTATATGACAGATGAGGTGGGTGGCAGGTGCTGTGGAAGGGAACAATCAGGAAGTGGTTTCTGCTTCAGGAGCTCACAGCCCGCAGATGGAACAGTTTTACAACAGTTTGGCAAGTGCAAGGGCAGAGATTTATACTTTAGCCGGTGTTTTCTCCACACTGCCCACTAGGTATTTCAAGTCTGGGAAAGCAGGCCAGGATCTACTTCCTGCGAATAAACTTATAGCGAGGGCTAAGAAAATGAGTATGGAAACAAGCATCCCCAAAGACATTATGTAAGATTTACCATAGCCTGGTAACAACTCTAAAAATTCAGCATCTCAGACATCAGTTCGACAGATAAGCAAAGTAAAGGCGGACAGGCATAAATGTAAGAAAAAACCCAAGAGCTGGAACTAGAGGAAATATCTAGGAAGGTGGCTGGGGTTAACAGGGTTGAGAGAAATGGTCCTGGCACAGAGAATGATGGCAGGCAGAGCGGTAAGAAAAAACAAGTCGAGACAGAGAAGTTGGAATACCAATGAAAGAGGACGAGTGGAGAGCAATGGGCTTCCCTCCCGGAGGACACAGATCCCAGCTAGGCAACTTGTGCCACGGTCGGTTAGTTCCAGTTGGTGCCGGAGGAAGAAGCAGATGGACCGACTCTGAGGCCGACACTGCTTTCCTGAGAGCAGCTGGCAGCGGTGAGAAGCCCCAGGCTAGTGACTGGGTCCTCTAGCTGCAACACCGTGACCGCCTCACCCCTCCCAGCCGCAGCCCGAACACAAACCCCAGTCGGATGCTGCCAAAGTAACCGCCTCACCTCGGGTTAAAGTCCTGAAAGAGGCCTCTCAGGTTCATGGCGGAGAACTTCACCGAGGCGTCCTCCTCTTTTCCCCCCCGCCCCCGCACCGCTAGGCCTGCGCCTCACAGCCGGTTCATGCTGCCAAAGGCAGCTTCGTCGCCAACGGCGCTGCCAGGAGACACCACAGCAACCAACTGTCTTTGACACTACTTCCGGCTTCCGTAGTTGGTAGGCGCATGCGCCCTGAGCGCCGCTCAGTTCCCCACCCCCAACACGCGCTCTTCAGAGCCGGAGGTTACCTGCTGGCATTTGTTGTTGTTGGTGGTGGTGGTTTGGTTTGGTTTTTCTCCCAGCTATTGGCCTGCGGAGCAGAAGGACTGCAAAAAGAAGAGGGAAGGGGATTAAGAACCTGATTGGGTGGAAGTCTATAAAGAGGGAGAACTCCAAACTGGAGTCCTTTGATGAGATCATCGCAGACACCTGTCACCTTGGCCGCCTGTCAGCCAGACCCGTACCAAGGTCTGGAGGTTTTCCCCCAGATTGACTGAACCTTGGGCCACACCTGCCAGAATTGCCAGTAAATCCAGTTTGCACATCAATTTTCTTCCCATGCCCTGAGCCTGCTCAGATATGCTGGCCATGCAAAACTTACATTATCCTGCACCAAAGTCATCTACCCTCTCAGCTGTATTCTCATCCTGAGTCTTCACTTCCCTTAGCAACTATCCATTGGAATGCCCAAACTGGTATGAGAAGTGGAATTCATTCTTACTTAATTCTAATCTAGTTCAGTCTCCTTATCTCCTGTCTAGACTTAGTGGTCACTTCCTCCACTCCCAGCCATACTATTCAGGATTGCTAGGTTTGTTTTATTGGGCAAGTAAATATCTTGGAAGCTCAGATTTTCTCCTCTGCAACATGGAAATTAAACAAACAAACAAACAAACAAAAAACATGCTTTTCCACCTGGTTAGGAAAGTTCACAAAGATCACACATAAGCATAGGGATACATAGGGAGGGAAACTATGGAAAGACAAGCCAACTGAATGTGCATATGTTAGATGCACAAAGAATGTTGTTGCTAGCTGTTCTTTTTAAGTGCCAACCATTCTTAAGGTTTCTATTTGCCTTTCAAATCTAAGAGTAGTACAACCTCACAGCAGAGGACTTAGTTTACCATTTTGAATTCCAGCCAATTTAAGAGTTGTTTTCATTAGCACAGCAATACCTTAAACATTAACCTGAATTCATTACGGGTATTGATAATAGCAGAGTTTTGTGAATGGCAATTTTATATTAGTTTGCCCCAGTGGAAGCTTGTTTAGATCACAATTGGGAGAATCATACTTTGCCATGATGTATCATCTTTCTTCTGGAAACTTGAAAACATTTTACAAGTGGTGATTATGCTCCCTAACACCCACTGAGAAAGGATATTATTATATGAGCTGGTTTATGAGTGAGTAACCCGATGAAGCATTCAGCTACTGAAACACCATGACCCACTCTCAAAAATGTTGATCCTCCTTCCCTAACCATCCTCCAGATGATGCTTAATATCTAGCCCTCAGGGCTCTCCCAATGCAGAGTAAAGTAAAGTGCAGAAGAGTTAACAAAAAAAAAAAGTTTGCATAATGTGCTCTGTATGACCTAGCTAATGAAGGTGGTGGAACAAAGATGCAACTTAACCTTCCTGCAAACCAGAGGTTACACTGCTAACATGAGTTAACTGCCATTGGACTCAATGTGCTCTACTTGTATTCAATATTCACATTGATCCCCATGACAGACTTCTGATGAGCAGAGACCTAGAAGAGAGAATCGTAGTGCATTATGACACTTAAATTAGGAGACCTGGATTGTAAGAAGAAAGTGGTTGTTTGTGGTCCAGATCTCCATGGTACTAGAGCTTCTTTCCTGGGCTTCGTTAGTAGAGTGGAAAGGGTATAGACTTTGACTAAACACTAGTTTTACCACTAATTTCAGTGTGAGAACTGACAGCTAGCATCAATTTTTGGACCTATTAAAGATGGTCAATCTGTCCTTGGCGAGAGGTTGACAAATTCTTCAGACAGGAAACACACAGCTGCTAGTGCCCAAGATTAACCTAACCTAAGTTCCCTAAAGTCCCACCCTAAGTGCTACCAAGTAGAGAATTGCTGCAGATCTCAACACTTTGTTCACTTGCAAAAAGCAAGCTGGGCCAGGTGTGGTGGCACACATCTTTAATAGCAGCACTCATAAACAGAGGCAGATGGATCTCTATGAGTTCAAGGCCAGTCTGGTCTACTTATCAAGTTCCAAGACAGCCAGAGATGCATAAAAACTGGAACCTGCGTTTTCCTAAGAGACCCTGTCATTCCTGACTTTAGTGTTATTTCCTGTCCTGAGATCTTCCTATGAGGTAGTTGTGTCTGAAGTACTATGGCTAGGTCTCTATTCCTTGAGTACCCAGCTCAGGAAGTCTGATGCTCCTTGCCACCTTCTTACAGTTCTGATGTTTTTTGTATAATAGATGCAGAAGCATGCTGTGAAATGCATTGGTTATCACACATCTTTTTTTCTTCCAAAGTTGCTAGAGGCTGTAGATATTATCTCTAGGCACATACACTCCTGTTTTCCTATTAGGTTCTTTGAGGTCATGGACACAAAGAAGCTTTTTGTTCTTATTATAGAATAGCTTACTTTTAAATGTGTGTGTGTGCATAGTGTATGCATGTGCATATGCGCATTTTGAATGTTCACATGTTTGTGGGTATGTATACATGTATGTGGAAATGCATGTGGAGGCCAAAGGTCAATATGGTGTGTTTTGCTCTATCATTCTCCACCTTATTTTTTGATATGGGGTATCTCACTGAACCTGGAGCTCACATAATAGGCAACACTAGCTGGCCAACAAATTTCAGGGATCCTCTGATGTCTACTTACATAAAACTTGCATTATAAGCATACACCATCATGCCTATATTTCTTCTTTTTACATGGTGCAGAGGGTCTAAACCTAGGTCATCATGCTTGTGCAGCAAGCAATTTACTGACACCCTTATCTCCCCAGGCCTAGAACAACTTATAACATGCTTGCACAATTCTAAGATAGGAGATAAGCCATCCATTTAATAACAGATTTTAAAGGGGAAAAACAGCTGCCTCAACTAATGTAAATATGAATTGTATGATATATACTGATTCAGTCTCAGTCATACTACCGTCTTGGAGAGAGGGCTTATATTCAGTATAAGCCACCTACTTTGTATGAACTTAGATAATATAACAGGTTTAAAATATTCCTTCCAAAAAGATTAATTGAAATCTTAATTCCAACTCACAAAACTTGTGAAAGCAACCTCATTGGACAATAGGGACTTTGCAGTTGAGATGAGGTCATTAGAATGAGTCAGTATTCCAATATGACTATATTCTTATGAGAAAAGAAAAATCTGGACACACATATACAAAGGAAAGGCATCTATATGCTTCTTAGGTGCACATGATTACAGTTTCAAGGCCTCAAATAAGCCCTTGTTGTGCCCAAGTCTATCAGACCCTAAATACTACTAAGGAGCAGATTCCAAAGCAAACACACAAAGGTCTATTGCAAGCTCAAACTTGGGCCCATACCATCGCCACCACAGTGGATCAAGTGTAGAGCCCTAAGCTCAAGAGAGAGGGGTTTTTATTGGAGATACTGCAAGGTTCAGAGAATTCCAGCTTGGCAGTTCTATGATTGATTGACATTTAGCAAATATTGGGTGTCCCGAGAATCAAACCATAATTGTTTGCCTGGAGAGCCAAACCGTAATTGTTTGTCGAAGGGCCAAACCATAATTGTTTTACTCAACCTATTGTAAAGAACACCTGGGTAAACTCCAGATATTCACTGATTAGATGTTGCTAGGGGTGATGGTTAAATATTACCAGAAGTGAGTGGTCGAAGCACATTTTTTTTCCTGCGGGGGGAGGGGGTGAGTTCTCCTTTCTGAAACTGGAGTTTATGCTCAGGTCATTTACCCTTAAGACAGAGTTCTTTTTCAGAAATGAGGTTACACAGGCATCACACTCCCAGGGAATGTCAGCATCTTCCTGTGGTGGCCATGAAGGAAGGAGGCTTTTACATGCTCTGCCTTACACAAGTCAGCCCCCTGGATGGCACAGCTGTACCCAGCAATCTTATGTGGAGGGCACTAGATGTTGGAAATCCCCCCCCCCACACACACATATAGTAAGTGGGGCACAGTGGACATCCTGGCTGTTGTAGCTCTGTCATCCCTAGCCTCCTTAATGAGCATTTTCTGCACCTGTCCTTTGGTGTCACTTGATATACATGTTTCTTCAAGGTCCCTTGCTTCCAACCTAGAGTGCCACATAGAGAAATGCCCTTATTTTTGTATGATCATTTCATTCATCCTCCTCCAGGGCTCCAGCTCATCCAGACAAAGAAAGTTGATATGGATCTGGCAAAGGTTTCTCCTCCTGACCCTCCCAGTGCTCTTTATGGCCATCTCAGGATATCAAAGTCCTCTCTTGTCCAGGCCCTTTCTAATTCCTAAATTGCATCTGGGGGAGTGTTCTACTGACTGAGGGCTAATGACCACTAATCCACTATTTGCTATACCCTTTGGTCTACTTGAACATCCCATCTGGGAATACCTGGTCCTATGGGAACATTATGCACAACCCTAGCAGTCTTGTGGGTGGCTGACAGGATACCCCTATTCCACCTTTCTGATCTACCTTAAAAAGCAAAGCTTCATAGTCACTCAGGTAATAAAATCAATTTCCTATTAACGGTTTAACCTTCAACATCACCACAGAAAGATATTTGCTTCTTAACGTTAATAGAAGGCATAGCTTGGGCTTAGTGTGGAGGCCAGCTGTGAGCACAACAGTAGGGAACTTCCGATTACAATAGGGATTTGGAGTACTTAGAACATCACCTTCTATTGACACTTAGGAGGAAATAAATGGTTATGTAGTAATTGGTCAACGCAAAGCAACTAATATGACTTCTTATGATAAAAATCTTCATTTCTCAGAGAAATTTCTGAGAAGATCAAATATGCCTGGAAATTCCCACACTTTCCCAAATGCCTATCTGCTAGGCAACAGATAGTTCAAATACAAAGTAACTGATTTTTCAAACCACTCTAAAGATGAATGAGGTGATGTACATTTGTAATCTCA